GGAAAAATACTAAAGCAGCAAAGTAAGTATGATCTGTGGAAGACAGGACTACATCAATTTAGTTTTTCAGAGTCTGAAATGGGGCAAGTTTAATATATATATGAAAATGGGGTAAGTTTAATATATATATGTAAATGGGATAAGCTTAATATATATATATTCTGAAATGATATGGGGTAAGTTTAATATATATATATATATATATATATAGTCATTTGAAAATGTGGTCTGAAAATGGGGTAAGTTTTATATATATGTATATTGCCATTTCCAAATGATGATTTAAGAAATTTGCTGGACGTATTGGACTTATTTTATCATCGGGGAATAAATGAACAAGACCACCAGAAGCAGTGCTATGTATGGATTTTTCTGTTTTGACCTAAAAGATAGTGAAAAGTACCCTGACCTCATTTAAGTAGAGATTAAGGATGTGGGAGTTTTGCCTGCAAGTCTTTGAAATTGGCTAAAGCTTTCCCCTTAAGGTTTGACTTTTATATGTTATTAAGACTTTAAATCTACTGTATCCGGGAATCCTTCCTAAGGAAAGAACACGTAAATAAAGTGGATTTTTCCCACTATAAAATCCAAAAGTAGAAGATGACTTTAAAGGTAATACCATTTCATGTGGGTAATCCATAGAAAATAACGTAAAATATGAGCTATCTTTCAGAACTTCTTGTATATGTGTACAACTGTAGACAGGTGATATGCCCACAATTCTTCCTGCATATCACAGTTTACCATCGACCTCTCCCACTGTCTACCCACTGCATCTCAAATTACACCCTTCTGAAAAAATCAATTTTAACAGTTCAGTGCTTTATATCTACACTTCACTCTGTGCCCATACAAATCACACACATGCATGTTCACTCACAAACAAAACTATATTTTTTACTTGTGCAAATATGAGACTCTATATATTATTTTAAAATATGAATGAATTATCTACACATTTATTAGAAGGATAAATATTGCTTCTTCCCTTTAACAAATACTTAGTATGTTATCAAATACTAAGAATAAAACTTATGTTTTCTCACTTAACAATTTTATCAAATACAGTGATATATTGACCTGCAGGTCAATGCATATTAATTGAATTCATTCTTTTGTCTGTTTGTTTTTTTCTGAGACAACGTCTCACTTTGCCATCCAGGCTTAAATCTGTAGACTTGACCTCATGGGCTTATGTGATCCTCCCACTTCAGCTTCAGAAGTACCTGAAATTATAGGTATACCCCAGTATGCCTAATGTTCTCATTTTCTTTCTCTTTTTTACAACCTCACAGGATTTTTGTTTAATCATAATGTGGACAAGAAAAAATGTACTCCTATTCTTTTTGATATTAACAGTTTTAGTAAGTTTGTTTTCACTTTCTGTCAAAAACACATAGCATATCTTGTTGATATGGATTCTCATACCCATTTAGATTCCATATGGTCATTAGAATAATATAGCCTTCTGATTTTAAAAGCAACTGATTGCTTATAGAAAAATGCTATGCATCAGACATTTAAGCAGAAAAAGAAAAATGAGAACATGTCTTTCATGTTTGATATCACTTAACTTACAGGATGATGTGAAAATAGTTTGGTTATAATTTTAACAGAACTAAAACTCACTTTAACTAATGAAAAAAATCCAACACTGAAGAATCAAATATCTACCAACTTAGCTGACATTCCTAAGAAAATAAATGTCTTCTGTTGCACTGAACATTAGAATCAGAAATGTACTATATGTTAAGGCATATTTTAATTAATATGTTCCAGAATTGCACTCTTTCCCTATGTTAACTAGGATGGCCTTGAACTCCTGGGCTCAAGGAATCCCTCCATCTCAGCCTCCGAAATGCTAGGATTATAGGCATGAGCCACCATGCCTGGCTAAATTCATTCTTTTTAATGGCAATATAATATTTCATAACATGATGAATCATACTTTAATTATTTTCCTATAATGGACTTACTAGTTATTTCCAGTTCTTTTCACTATAGATAATGTTGCAATAAATATTCTTGAGAATATTGCTATTATCTGAATGTTTATGCCTCCTCCCAAGTTCACATGTTGAAATATAGTTCCCAAAGTGATGGTCTTAGGAGGTGGGACCTTTGGGAGGTGATTAGCTCATAAATGTGGAGCTCCTGTGAATGGATTAGTGTTCTTATAAGGGTGTGAAGAGATCAGAGTTCTTCCCTTCTGCTATGAGAAGACACAGCAAGAAGGCTCTGTCTGTGAACCAGAAAGTAGGCCCTCATTAAACAATCAATCTGGTGGCACCTTGATTGTAGACTTTCCAGTATTCAAAACTATGAGAAATAAATTTCTACTGTGTATAAGCTATCCAGTTTATGGTGTTTTGTTATAGCAATGCCCCAAACTAAGACACATATATTTTAACATGCATGTTTATTTCTACAGCATGGGAAAATTGCAGCTGAAAGATGCTGTCAAGTTTAAAGCTTTTCTCCATTACTTTGTAAAACTTCCACAGAAACAGGAGAAACTGGGATATTTTAAGTGTTCTGTCATCACCGGTTTACAATTTTTGCTGATTACTTGCTGTTTAACCAAGCAGTATGAGAGGGAAATAGAGACAAACAGAAGAAATTTTCTGCCATCTAAGAAATCACATTTCCTCTCATTGTCAATATCTCCTACAGAAAAAGATCCCTCAGAGTGGCTCCTCAAGCCACCGTGTGCACACAAAATGTATATTCTTTCCCTCTGTTCACTACTAACTTTTTTCAGCAACTAGTACTTTCTTTCTCCTCACGTCTCTAGCTCAGCTCTTCTAAAATGCAGATCAACCAACTTATCTGACTTTTCAAATTTGCTTTGTCTATTATTCATGTTCTCTTTCACAAATGAGAGTCTAATTACTGAGGTAGAAGCAAAAAGCTCTTCCTCCTTGGAGCCTTAGAATCTTAGAAGAGAGGGGAAGGACTGCAAATAATTTAAATGTGGTAACTTAGTAACCTTTATTCTATTTCACTCTTTATCTCTCACACACACATCCACACACACCCCTCCACAACGGGGGAAAAAACCCCTATAAAACAGTATTTTGCAGTGGGATAAATTCTTATGAATGAATGAATGAATAAGAATCTAGTGGAGGTCCAAAGAATGAGGTGAATCATTCAGTTTGGGATAGAGGAAAGAGGAAGGAATAAATATGAAAACAGTCTTCATTGAGGAGTTAACATTTAGTTGAGGTAAAAGACAAATATTTTTTCTAGGCTTGGAAGGTGAGGACATTCCATAAAGTATGAATGGAAATAGCAAAGGCACTGAGGTAAAAGGGGCTTTTGAGTTTTGGAGGGATCTGGTATAGCTTAGAGTGGTGGTTCTCCAATTGTAATGTGCATAAGACTTATGCAAGGAGCTCATTTAAAATGCAGATTGATGGGCACCCATTGTCCCAATATTTTGATTCGGTATCCAGAAATCTGTAATTTGAACAAGTTCATCCAGATAACAAACACCTTTTTATATTCCAGTAGAGGTTGTGTGATGAGCAGTGGCACAAAATCATGTTGCAGAATACTAGGGTGAACATGAACTAGTATTTCAGGTAGGTTAGAGTGCGAGACAAGAAGAGATTCTGTCAGAAAATAATGTCAGGTGTTTGACCTTGGTTTTAAGAGGTAATAACTTGACAATGGAGCTATTATTTTCATCCCTAAAGTCACTGCTTCACAGGTAATATTTATTGAGTGGCTGCATAAAGGAATGTGGGCAGACTTCTGAGAAAGCAAACTGAAAGTTCCCAGAGCTATGAGGATTGCTTGCTTGTTTGACTTGACTGTAAGGAAAGCAGTTTCACCATAGCCAGCTCTGAACCACGGATTCAAGCCTTCCAAAAGCTGTCTTGGTGTATGTCAGATTGATATACTCATGCATTTTCATTCAAGTCTACACACAAGGTAAATGTAATTATCTTGTAGATCATCCGTGTAAACAATCATCACAATTATGTAGCCATTGCCAGATACAAGCCCTTGGAGCTAAGATCTGGGAACAGAGAACAGGCTCTTACATAATCTCCCAGCAAGTCAGTGTTGGGGACTGTGATTAATACTACATGACAGGCTTTGAACTTTCTATTCAGATAGGTTTGCTTGCCTTTTGGAGCTCCTAGCAAGAAGAAACGTGTGACCTGCAGATTTCACTCTGAATAACCATCATCCAGCCAACAACACTGACATGGCTCTGTGGCCCTGTGGGTAACCGTTTCTGTACCTCACTCCTCTGCCCATAGACAAATTGCAATAGGAGCATCAGGGTGGTTCTACAGAAGTGGAATATAACTTACTGAAGCCCAGTCTCTGAAGAAAGCTATGGCAAACCACGCTGGTGGGCTCTTCTGGGTATAATCAGAAAAGCCCCAGAGGAGGGGCCGAAGAAAAGAAACTGTAGTGGCGAAGGAAGGAGTTCTGCTCTCTAACAGTCTGTAATAGCTTCGCAGCATCTTTCCCTCCCTGGAGCTCCCGCGGAGCAACTGAACACGCGCTCTGAGCATCCCAGTCCCGCCGAAAAGCTGTCCCAGTGCTAACCAACTTTCTGAGCTTGGCCAAGTCTTCCGGCTCCTCCGTTCAGCCATGGGTCCCTCCACCCATCCTCTCATCCCCGCCAAGGTTCAGGTGAGGGGCCCCAGCGGCTGCGCCTCCATCTACCCCCGTCCACCATCTCCCAAGGGGGGGCTTCTTTCCACAGCCCCTGCACGTCTGCAAGCGGAGAAGAGAGACGACGCTTGTCTAAGCACCTGCAAAAATGCGTCCACACTCCCGCCTCCCAGCAGGGTGCCTCGATCCCGTCCCCACAGCCTTGGAACGGAACCTGGGGAGGGGGCAGGATTGAAGTCTCCGGCTTGAGGGTTGACTCTCCGGCTTGGAACAGAACCGAGCAGCGAGCACTCCACCCGACCTCTCCTCACCTATCGCCGGCCGCCTGGCGACCCTCCCGGCGCACACACACTGCTACTCACCAGTTCCAGGGCTCGCAGGAAGGCAAGGGGCTCCTTCAGCACCCGGAAGCTGCCCGCAGAAGCCAGCTTTAGGGAAACGAGGCGAGAGAGAGAAAGCAAAGCGTGAGGAAGGGGCTAGGGGCGCCTCTCCCAAGCCGCAGGGTCCCCCCACCAACCAGAGCCAGCCGCCCTGCCCAGTCCGTCTCACCTGACTCACAGGGTCCATACTCGCCCTCGCTCGCTCTTCTCACCAGTTCTCTTTAAAAATGAAATGCGCTTGGCGCCACCGTCCTCAGGGCCAGAAGCCCCTTCGGGAGCAGCCGGAGAAGCGACACCCTGGAGCAGCCCGGCAAGGGCAAGGGGCCTCGGGGAGCCCACTGGCTAACGCCCGGCTCTGCGCTCCGGGAACCCAGGGGTGGGCCGGGAAGAGCTGGGGCAGGGTAGAGACAACAGGGGAGGGGAAACCCGTGCAGCCAAGGGAAGACTGTCATTGGCCAGCCGCGCTCCAGAGGGGAGGGCGAGGAGGTGGGCGAGGCAGAGCCCTCAGACCTTGGTGCAGGCTCAGCTGTGCGCCAGGTGCCTTCTGGCTCCGGTGAAACTTTGGGTCTGTTGATTGGGGAAAGCGGGCCGGCACCGTCAGCAAGACTGCTGTCCACCTGAAGAAAGGGTTTCCAGATAGGAGGAAGACACCCACACCTTACATGGGACATCTGTGTGAGTTCTGGTGACTTCCGAACAACAAAATAATAATAGTGATAAATACATTTTTTAAAACTATTTGTTGGCTCTTTTACTCATTCCTTCAAGCCTTTATGGAGCATCCTTCCTATGGGTAGGCAGTGCTAGGTGCTGGGGTACAAATGAATAAAATAAAATAAAACAGGATCAGCACTGTCACTTCCCCCAGGGGAAGCAGAAGGGGAATAAAAACTTGCAATGTAGTCTGAACAGTGATATAGGGCAGGGCACAGGAGCTATGGGCACAGGGAAGGGAAGGGATCCATCTAGGCCCGTGGATGCCAGAGCAGAGGACGAGGACAGAGGAAACTGCCGAAAGAGGTGGAAACAAATGAATCTTGGATGTGGGACCATGTGCTTGTGGAAAACAGATTTAGCAATGATGAACTAGCCAAAGTAAAATATTTCGTGGAAGGCTAATCAGGAAATGAAATTTAGGTACCTTTCAAACTCATGTTACTTCTACTGAGATCTTTTGCCTGAGATCATACCCTCAAATGAACTCCCCTGCCAAACTCATAAATATAACTCTGGGTCCCTCCTCCAAAGTTAGACTCTTTTCTTGAAACTTAGTGAAAGGTGGTTCATGTTGTTTCCTGTTAGTGGGCTAACCTTGCTGAATATAATAACAACAACAAAACAACTGAGTTCTTTCTATGAGCCGAACACTGTGCTAAGGGCTTTACAAACATTATTTTATTAAATATTCACAACCCCCCATAGGTTGTTATTCCCGTTTTAGAGACGAGGGAATTGAGGCCCATGGAAGGAAAGTGGCCTGCCCAAGATTGACCAGCTGGCAGGTAATAAGTTAGAACTGATTTTTTTTTCAAGTCAGAAAAAGAAAAGAAGACGGGGAAGGAAAAAGAGGTGGAGGAGGAAGAAGACGTGAAGGAGGAGAGAGAGGAGAGCTCTTAGCTACTACATCAAGTAGTGACATGTCCTCTTCCTTCTCACTCCTTTTGGATTTGATTCCATTTATGAGTGGTCTCCCAGCAACACAGATAGTCCATCTGTTTACTACAAAAATTTGCCAAAAAGTTTGGAGATTGTGTGTATGTGTGTGTTGGGAGGGGGGCATTTGATATGTTGAAGTAGATGAGAAATATGGAAATCAATAATTTGCTGTCTTGGAGGGGGAGACAGCAGGGCTAAAATGTACTTAAAAAGATAGCTTCTGGTGTAGATGCCCCCCACTCATGAATTTTGCTGGAGAAAAACTAGAATTTAGTGAGTAGGAACTCCAGTGGAGTGGTTGTACCATCTGCAGTTAGCCAGTTTTGTTCCTACTGCTCTTCCTACATGCAGATAGAGCCTAAAACAATTAGAAACAGTTGTTTCAAAAATAAGCCATTATGCAACTATAGGGGAGGGGTTGGGGGAGAACCAACACTAACAAGTACTCAGTGTGTACCCTACTATGTATGTATATGATCTTATGGGGGAAGCTACTTAACCTCTTCAAGACCTCAGTTTGTTTCTTTGTTTTAATCTGTAAAATGGAGCCAAAATACCTGTCTTAACTGGTTTTTCTGAGAACACAATGAGATTTTGCAGATAGCATATCTAGGGCAGAGTCTGCATTTCATAATCCCTCCACATGTATTCGTTACATATCACTTCTACAGAAGCAAAGGTGAAGACTCACAGGTCCATATCAGAGGCAGGGTAGGTTGTAGCAATGTCCTGCCACCCTCTGCAGTGCCTCTCCCTGAAATATATCCCTGCCCTTTCGGAACCAGCAGTAGCCATGTGACTTGTTTTGACCAATGAAATATGGGCATTTTATTGGTAATGTGTGCATTTCTGGACAGAAGTTTTAAGAACCACCAAGTGATTTGCCAACATATTTCCTTCTCCCACGATGAATATAATTTCTACTTAGAGATTACTCTGACAGCTTGGGTCCTGGTGTAAGGATGACGTGGGCAGAGCTGCAGCCATACCTTGATGGACCTGAAGCTGAGCAAAAAAATGCATTTGGGGTGTAAGCAACTGAAAAATATTGTTACTGCAATAAAACATAACCTAGACTGATTGATAACACAGCTGGTAAAATAGCTGAACCAAAATTCCACCCTAGGTTCATATGATCTCATGGTCCTTGTATTCATCCTCTTTGCAGGGTAGTCAGCTGGCTTACAGGGTATGACAGCTCCTGCATATGCTTAATAATGATAATTATTATTGTAATAGCTATTTCCAGTTGAGTTCCGGCTATCTGCCAGGCATTGTGCTCAGTGCTTTACATACATCATTTAACTATCATTAACAATTTCTTCTTTTCTAGATAGTATATCCAGCCTTAGAATGGCTATGTCATTTGTCTAAGGTCATCTACATATTTATGTCTCTTTATACAGGGAGAGAGACTTATTTAAAATATTGCCTACTTGCAGATCATTTGAGTTGAAAACTTGGTACAGAGGAAGTGTGATTACTGAGCCTATTCCCACGGGTCTCTCTTCACACCCAGTGTTCTTTCTGACTAACATGGTGGCATATTTTATGCCCGTTCTCCAAACACCATGTGAAGGAAGTCAGAATTGTGGCAAATGGCAGTGTAATAGCTTAGACAACAATTGCACATTGTCGGAGGATGCTTTTCACATTCCAGAAATGCATGAGTTTCCAACAGCTGCATCACCAAAATAACCCAAAGTTTCATATCACATTTGCAATGTTAGATATTTTGTAGACTTTGGGTTAGAACCTCTGTATTCAGACCTGGAAATAACATTGGGTTCCCTAAAGAACTAGGCTGGGGGAGATAGGACAGATGATATAAACACTGCCACAATATTACTATCAGTGGTTGAGGGCGACCCCTTCTCTTTTGTCCCAAGATGATGAAAGATAATTTCTTTCTTACTTTAACAAATCTGTTAAATAGATGAATGATAACTTTGGTGGGGCATAAATCATCCATTTTAGTGGCCTGTATTGATTATGTAAATCAAATAATTTCCAAATTTTCTTTTGTTTTGGGCCGTGGACCCATAGCTATGAAGACTTCCTTTGATATGCCAAGACAATCCATTTATTTACTGTAGTGGTCTGGGTCTCAATAGAGGGTGATTTGGGTCCTTCCCTCCACTGGAAAACATGCGATATGTTTGGAGATGTTTTGATTGTTACAACATGGCAGGGGGTGGGGGGGTTGGCACCGGGACGGGATGACACTACTGGCTTTCAGAAGGCAGAAGCAAGAGAAGCTGTTAAATATCCTACAATTCAGAGGGCAGTTGCCCAAACCAAAGAATTACCTGGAAACTGTCAATGGTATCAAGATTGAGAAACTTCAGCAAGTAAGGGCTGAGTGCCTATCATACCCTAGTACTGTTCTAGGTACTGTAAACAGCTTGCCAAGGCTCCTGCTTCACAAAGCTTATACTATAGGTAAGAAATACATTCAGTCCAATTTAGTAAAGCTCAACATTTGCTAAATAAGCAGATGAAAATCAAGTTACAAAAACAGCCATTTTGAATCTCAAAGAGGGTTAATCTTGAGTCAAAACTATACAAACCAAAGTACCAAACTGCAGTTGAAGAACTTGCATTATTCAGGCAAATTAAATCTTGTTCTCACAGGAAAATACACCTGGGTTTCATATTCCTATGTCTCTTGTGACAAAGAGAAAAAAATAATTTAAAACTTTATCTGCAGCAACTTAATATAGGAGGAAACTCTACTCGTATGTTTATGAAATCTAAAATAATGGAAAAGGGTGGAAGTCTGTCAAAACGTTGTATATTTAACTCTCTGTTCATGCTGCTAACTTGAACTTTCCAAATCTTTCCTTAGGCAAGTGAGTATGAAAGCAAAGGCCAATAGCATGCCTGTGCATTTGTTTGTTTGTATGTTTGATTTGCACAGGGCCACTAGTACACAGGGCAGGAGATTGGAAATATTTTCAAAACCTCTAATTTTAGAATAAGTATAGCATTATCTCCTAACCCAAAGATAAAATAAAGCATTTTTTACTTTCTTATGTTCCTGTGTCTTAAATGGATGCAATAAAACATGCAAGAATATGTATACATGTTTGTTTGGTTGTAATCCTAGAACTCTGGGAGGCCAGGGTGGGTGGATCACAAGATGGGAGTTCAAGACCAGCCTGGCCAAGATGGTGAAACCCCATCTATACTAAAAATACAAAAAAAATTTTAGCTGGTCATGGTGGAAGGCACCTGTTATCCCAGGTATTCGGGAGGCTGAGGCAGGATAATCGCTTGAATCAGGGAGGTGGAGGTTGCAGTGAGCCAAGATCGTGCCACTGCATTCCAGTCTGGGCGACAGAGCGAGACTCCATCTAAACAAAAAAAAATCTCCATCATATCATAGGATTTCATAGTTTCTTATTAAAATTTTTAGTATTCAGATAGGATCATTCTTAATTAATAATCATAACTGATATAAAATTTCATATATGGACGGCCAATGTGAACTTAAATTATAAAGTGCTTTTACTATTTCTGTTTCCATATTTGTTTCAAATGAAATGATTTTTTGTTAATTCAGTCAGGCTTGAATACATGCAAATTAGAGGACCAAAACTAACACCAAAGGATTGAATTCATTGACCCCAGAGAATAATAATAGCAACAGTAATTATGATAATGATTCTAACAACACATTAAGTATTAAGTAGATGCCGAACAGAATGCTAAGTGCCTTTATAGACATAACTTCTTTAATTTCCTCATCATTCTTGTAAGTAGTATTATTGTTACTTCCATTATACAGATGAAAAAACACAGGTTCAAAGAGATTAAAAATCTCAACTAAGGTCTTATAGAGAGTAAACAGCAGAGTCAGGATTTTCCTCCTACTCTCATAACTTTCCAAGAAAAAGATGATTTGCAGTTTTCATTGCAATTTTGAAAATGTCACAAGCTTTAGGCAAAAA